TGCTGGGGAAAGCCCAAGAAAGGGGGAAAAATCTGGGGGAAAGGGTATGGGGAAGGAGCCCTGCTCTGCTCTCAGTGAGTTAAACTTCCTAAGGGGCCAAAACACGAGCAAAATGGGTCTGGATGCGGGAGCTTTGCACCATCAGTGTGTCTCCAGCTGAAAAGGCAAATAGTTTGGGGAAAAATGCTCTGGTTTGGGGGGAAATATCCTCTTGTCCTTCCCCTAGGGCGTTTCTTGGTGGTGCTCTGTGTCCAGCTCCCAGAGCTCCCCTGGCATCACAGGGGGATGAGGTGAGGTGAGGGTCTTGCAGCCTGGAGCAGCTCCGGGGTGTGTGTGGGGGATGCCAGGCAGGATCCTGGGACTGGGGGAGGCACCAAAGGGGGGAAGGTCTTACCTGCACGATGCTGCCACACTCGTGGAGGCCGGCAGTGAAGGTGACGGTGTTGTGGGCAGGGTTCAGTGAGGAATGCTTGCATGCCGCTGGCCCCAGCGTCAGGTCGGCCACGTTGACCAAGCGTCCGGTGCCAAAGAGGTCACGGTGCACCGTCACCACCAGCTGAGCCTCCTGGCACTGCACCATCACCGGCTGCTGGCTGGAGACGGCTTGAGATTGGGGGTCCTCCACCCAGGACCAGGTGTAGGGGTCTGCCCGCACCCCCCGGCTTGCTGGGTCACCCCAGGAGAAATCCCAGGGTGGGTAGGCAGCCACCTCGCCCGCTGTCCAGCAGAGGAGAGCGAGGATCAAGCCGCTTTCAGGTCCCATCCCTCCTTCTTCCAGCAAACCCCGGCACAGAAAGCTGGGGCTGCTCCTCCAGCCTTTATATCCCCCCAGGAGCAGGAGCCGTCCGCCCCTGGGCTCCCGTTTGGGGACCAATGGCACCCAAAGGCCAACCCTCGTGGGTGCGGGGAGAGGGGAGGCACGAGCAGGTCGTTTCCGGGGTGCCAGGACCCCCTGTTCCCCGGGCTGCCCAAGGCGAGAGAAAACATCCTCGTCAGCCTCTTTGGGGAAGTTGTTTATAAAACTCAGCAGAAGCCGGAGACGGGGAGACGGGTACAAAGGAGCTTGTTTAGGTTAGAAGGTGATAAGGGGCTTTTCAAGGCTGCTGGGGAGGTGACAGGAGCGGGGAGAGCAGGGTCCATGATCCCACCCCTGATCCCTCTGCAGGGACCATTCCTTCCCGGTGCCGCCAGCCCCCCTGGGACTTTGGTTTTCTGCTGGGAGGCTGACATCCTGGGGCAGCCGGCAACCCACATGCTCACAGCTCCAGCCCATCTTTGGGGCTTTAAGCATCCCCCCTGCTCCTTGGCAGGGCTAGGACCAGGATGTTTGGTCACCGCTGACCCAGCCGCAGCCCATGGAGCACCCTCATCACTGCCACGAGAGCGGCTGTTCTCAGCCAGGGCCAAACTGCCCCCATTTCAGCCTCAGCAGTGAGGTCATTGGCTGCAGAGCTGCAACCTTTCTTTTTTATCTCGGCTGCCTTTCCCCAGCTCTCTGGCTTGTGTTTGTTTTGTTGCCTTCAAGGAAATGGGCTCAGGGTAGAAGAAGCCAGAGGCGAAGCGCTCCGCGCATCACTCCCTTCCCCACGCTGCAGCACCCCAGTTTGTATCCCAAACAGCTGGGGAACAGGGAAAGCTGCTTAAAAATAAATCCTATATGTTTTCAAGCCTCATTACTGGAGTTTCCGTCCCTTCCTTTGAGCGTCTTCAACTTTTTCCCTGCCAGGGCTCTGCAAGCATCCCCTTGGCTCTGTACGAGAGATGCTCTTTTGGGATGTCCCTGGCAAGCCTTAGGGACAGTGGAAAGCCTCTGATTTGGTTGTTTGAGCTGGAGCGGCTGAGCCATTTCTGGGAAAATGAAAAGAAACTGAAAGCTTTTGGGGGCAGATGCTGGCAGATGCCAGCTTGCTCCTAGGAGAAATCCTAGAAAAAAACTCTGGATCGGAGTAAAACCTTCTGCCTTCCCCACCGGCTCCTTTCCCCAGGCAGCCGATGCCCAGTCCCTGCTGCTGCCAACGAGTCCAGGACTTTTCCTTCGTGTTTAAAATACCTTGAGGTTGGCACTCGCATAGAAATGCCAGGGATTCCAGCAGGCCAAGCCCCGTTTGTCAGGGAGATAACAGCAGTGGGCGATGCTGAATCAGTAAATAAGCGGCTGCCCCGCTGCCGGGGGAGAGCATCGCTGCTCAGCCAGGTCCTTGGCTGCAAGGACCACAGGAGATTCTTGGCCTCACCCCATCACATCCCAGAGAGCCGCAGCTCAGTAGCCAACTCCAGGGTTAGGCTGTGGGTCTCTGAGAACCAGGGATCGATCCCAGCAGGAGAATAAATCCCTCCATGGGTCTCTGGGGACCAGGGATTGATCCCAGCAGGAGAATATATCCCCCTGATGGGTCACCTTGTGTTTATGTGGCTCAAATTAGCAGAGGGGAATTCCAGGTGGAGAAACATGTCCAGGTTCAGAGGATAAGAGGTACTTCTCTGTGAAAAAGGGATTTCTGCTCCCAGGTTAGCCCTTGCCAGGACCAGCTGTCCTGTCTTCATTCCAAGCACAACATGATGCTGGCTCTGGACCAGCACAGTTGGGAAAGAGCATGAGCTTATTTTTTTGGAGGAGGCAGGGACCAGAAAGTCCCAGGGCACCGGACAAGCACGCAACCCAGTGTTTTCCCCTCCGTTGCATAAAGGAGGCTTTAAAGCACATCTCATTTTTACTGCTCGAGTGGGATGGCTGCTCCAGGAAGCCAATGAGCATTTCCCCATCCCCAATTTCTTTGTAGACCAGATTTGGCCAATATTTATCTCCATCCTGAAGGCAGCTGGGATATTTTGCTGAGCTGGCTGCAGGGCAACTATACCAAGTTTAAAAGGCTCCTCCATGTGTCTCAGCAAACCAGAGTGTCCCTGCTTGGAGCCCATGGGCCAAGGGATGGTCAGGACACTGAATGCCTAGAGAAGATGCTGATCAAGCAGGAATTGGTTACGTGAAGATTTAACTCGTCAGCAGCCACAGCTCGTGGTCTGGGAGGTTCAGGTTGGGTGGGGAAATATTTCCTCTCCAGGAGCGTTGTGCAGCCCTAGGCTGGGTAGGCAGAGGTGGGGGATTCTCCATGCACAGACATTGCCAGCCTCAGCCAGGCCAGCACAGGGCTGATGCACCTGGTGTTGGACTGGAAACCTTCCAAGATCCCTTCCACCCATGTTTCCATGCCTTCTTCCTCTCCCTTCCACCCCAAAAGCTCACAGCTCTAAGGGGACAGTAAAGAATTCTCCCAGCTATTCCCCCTATAAGCTCCTGCCTCCCACTTTGCTGCAAGACAAGGCCCAAACCCCTCTAGCAAGGGGTCAGGTTATACAGAGGAGGAAAAAAGCCATAGCAACAACCCCCATCCAAAGTCAGTGTGGGTCCCTGATCCAACCCAGAACCCATCTCTTAATTTTGAGGGAGGGCTAATTGGGTTTTAGACCTGTGAGCAGCTAAAGCAATAGCAAGGGAAGGGAGGGGACAGTGGTTTAGGTGACCTAAAGTCTCAAGTCCAGCTTGGCACCTTGTACCGAATTGATCCTGGTGCAAGGTGATGTCTAGCAAAGGACATCTAGCAAGGACACAAGTTGCTCTTGGAGAGATTCTGACTCACCAGAACAGTCAACCATTGGAATAAGCTCCCCAGGGAAGTGGTTGACTCTGCCACATTGGACACTTTTAAGACTCAGCTGGACAGGGTGCTGGGCCATCTTTCTAGACTGCGCTCATGCCTAGAAACGTTGGACCAGATGATCTTTGATGTCCCCCCCAACCTAGGATTCTATGATTCTGTGATCTGGCTGAGGGTCTCCAGGGTGATGGATGACACCCAAAGACACATCAACTTGTGCAAGATACCTCTGTCCTTTGTGACCAAGAGACCTGCCCAAGCGCCCCCTCTAAGGGGTTGCAGAAGTCCTCCTGCCCCCTGCAAAAGCAGCTTAAGAGGTAGCCATGCTACAAGCAAAGCCCAGCTCTTCACAGGTCTATTTTCCCTGAACCCAGCATCCCAAGATGCTCAGTTCCTCCCCTAAAGAAGGAACCTCGCCCCAGCCCTGGGGAGCAACAGGTCTTGGGTTTGGGGCAGGAAGAGCCTGCTCTTACAGCCACTCTGCCGAGCAGAAATTTCACAGCAATAGTAGGAAAAAGCAAATGTGACCCAGGCATGTCAGAAAGCCCCTTTC